CTGTGTCTTCATGTCATCTTCTTTCTATGTGTGTCTTTGTGTTCAAGTTTCTCCTTTTTATGACACCAGTCTTATCAGATTAGGACCCATGCTAATGATCTCATTTAACTTGGTTACCTCTGCAAAGACCCTATCTCAAAATAAGATCAGATTCTGACCTACTGGGGGTTAAGACTTCAACATATGAATTTGGGAGTGTGGCACTATTCAATTCCTAACAGCTGATAAGCAATAAGGAAAGCATAAATGAGTTTTTAAGAGGGATTATTTGGACTCAATTTTTGTCACCCTTATTGAATCAAAGAAGTAAGTAGAATAAATACAATTCGTAAATAGTAGAACCATTCCTGCAAGCAATCCAAGCAATCCATTTGTGTGGTCTCATCCAACTACAAAGCCTTAAAAAATTTATCAGTACATAAGTTGATTCCAAATTTATATCTCAAATTCTCTGTGAGCCTCAAATTCTCCTATCCAACTCCCTATCTGTCATCACCATTCAAATGTCTCACAGGTGTCTCAAACTTAACATTTATAAAACTAAATTCTTCATTGTCTTCTTCTCTGCCCCCCAAACGTATTAACCCCCATTCCGATTTTCTTCACCCTTGATCTTCCCTCCGCGACACCTTACGTGCAATCCAACAGCATGTCCTGTTGGCTATACCAGGTGTATTTTAAATCTGCCTGTTCTTCAACTTACTGCCACCATCACAACTTGACTGGACTGATGCAGTGGACTCCCTACTGCTTTTTTCATTGCTCTTCTTGACCATCTCCCCAAATTCTCCATTTACAAGACAGAATAATCTTTGTAAAATACAACTTGGACCACCTTAACTTCTTTGTGTAAACTCTGTCGGTAGCTTCCATACTTCAAACAATCTCGTATCACCCACTGTGATCCAGCCGCACTTGCCTCTTCTGAGATCCTTGAGCCTTCTGAGCTCTTTCGTGCATGAAGGCATTTACATACACTCTTCTGATTGTCTGGAATACTCATTCACCCAGTCTTTGCATGGTTGGCTCCTTAATGTTACTCTCAGTTTAAAGATCACCTGCTTACTCAGGGAAGTTGTTTATTTTATTTTAGTTTACTCCATCGAAGTAGAACTTCCTTCTAATTATTCAAGGATGCATTGCTTTTCTTTAATAGTGTGTGTCCAAATCTCAAATTCTGATTTTATCTTTAATCTTCTCCATTAGACTATAAGCTCCATGAAGATGTGAACCAAGTTTCCTTTTGTTTTGGGAGCCCCCCAGCTAAATTGGGGTCCCAGTATCACAGTAGCTAGAAATACTGGCCTAACAGAAAATGAGGGGGAGCTGGACATAGGGATTTACAGTCTGTCTTTCACAGAATACTTCCTTTACCTGGCAGAGGTCTAATCCTTAGTTGTCCAACCTGTGACCAACAGGGTCCCTCACATGGGAGACTTGTTTATACTGGCA